CCTCTGTTATCGCTTGAAATCAGATAAAGGCGTACACATTGAAAGATGCAATCTTCGCAAATAGAGATTTGATAATTGGAACAGGCAAGTATTTATTTCGTACCAGTAGCCATTTTCTTAAGAAACTGTATAACAATTGGGCTTAAATAAGTCTAAATTAACACCAGTCCTACCATAAAGGTTCACTCTTTGTGGATAATCTTTAACACGCCAAAAATGAATATAATCATTGTTAGTAAAGAAATAAATGACATGAGAAGATCAATATTTAAGCGAGATAATTGTTTATCGGACAGCCGGAGATGAAGGGGTGGGTAAAGAAGGAATGAGTATGAAGAGTGCAAGCGGGGAAAAGTGGAAGGCATGAGTATTGAGCGAGAGCGACCTCGGTTGAGATGGAATGGTTTTGCGTGGTAAGGCGAGGAAGTTGACAGGCGTTAAGTACTCTTTTAATCGCTGGGCAGTGGGCATTTAGGGGAGAGGAAAGAGCCGGTAGGTGCGCGATGCTTAAAGAAACAAAGCCAGTCCATGAGTCAGGGTTTCTTCACTCACTTAAGCGAGCAGTCGCATTCCAGGACTAGTTCGATCGTAATCACTGAGGTCGATGACCAAACTCTCTACATTTATTTCATATGATGAACGATGTTAACTTATTTAAAATTGAGTAAAGATGTTAACTTTGAGTGTAAAAGCTTATGAACTGTCAATATTTTACCTCTTCCAAGGTATATTAAAACTGAACTATGCGGAATGTTTTATGAGATCAATAGCATTACCAAGTCTTGAACAAAGTTTGAGATTGGCGAAACAAGAACAGCCTTTTTTAATTTGTTAATACCAGATCCATTAGCACTGAAGATCATAAACAAGAAGCTACTTCAATCCATGGGGAGAATAGGGAAATCCGAAGGTTGGAAAGTGAACTATTTCTTCAGTAAATAATGCACAAAGTACTTAAATCAAGTGAAGTTTTTGACCTTGAATTACTGTGTAGCAGATTGCTACACTAGTAAAGCCTGACTGACTCGGAAATCTGCGGCAGATTCTCCTACATCTAGCTAGACTCCCAGAATCAGTTAATCTATAGCCCAGCTATAGAGGAAACAGACGTATCGCACAGATCACGTTTATTCCGTAGGGTTATTGTGAGTAAATTGAACACGCAGAGAGCCTATTCATGATCAGGATGACGGTTTAGGTTAAACAAACAGAGGCCATTGATTGGCCACTGTTTTTACAGTAGCTGCACATAGAGTTGTGCGGCCTCACCTCCCAATCCTGGCGTGCATGCATATGATGACGCGTTAAGCGATGACCTTCCCACGACTGTTATGAATTTTTCTATTCACCGTGGATGGCACTAATAAATAAATAAAAAATAACAAAGGATATGTAACGGTGTAATTGCACTCAAATCAAAGTAATCGATAATTTGGGAGATTGAATGGTTTGAGAGAAAAGATATGACGACTTTTGGGATGAAGGGAATTTCGGTGAAGGAGGAAATTTATTATAATAAAGAGGCAAATTAATTGCCAAGACAAATATTGCGTTGAATCATTCAGAGATTATGCCATTTTATTCTCGGCTTTCCAAATTAACTTGACACAGTAATGCCTTGATGAAACACCAAATCGGAAAAAACATAAACAAATTACCTGCTGTTTCTAAAAGTCAAAAAGCAGAAACTTTTAAACAACTAGAGTATGTAGCCTGTAGACTTTCCACTAATGCTGGCAATCTTTACTTTTTATTATTTCCATAAAATTGCCGTTTCGTAAAATTAACTAATAGTTGGAAGTGTCTGAAAACCGCGTGATTGGAAACAAAAGTAGTGAAATCTAACAAAACGTTCTCATTAAATGCGATTTCTTTGCCTTCGGGGGAAGTGAAAGAAATGCTAAGGCGAGATAAATCGTTGGGATCCAGTTGCCAATTTCTTTCGAATAAAACATGCATTCATTCTTTGCGCAAAATAGGAGTTTTATGTGCAAATAAAACAAATTAGAGTCCCATAGGGTTGCAAATTGCCTGGTTTCAGATGCCGGATTTAATCAACCCAATGAAAGCCTATTATATTGTGGAAGGTTTAGTACAGACAGCTTTCAGTTAATGTTGACAAGTGTTCACAGTAAAAACAAGATTTGAGCTTTCTCAGTATATGGTTTTATAATAATTCCAACAGAATGGCCAAATTTTCATTTTTCTAATCTGAGTGTCCAATCAAATTGATCTAGGTACTCCTTCTCCCATCCGACGATGTGCCTCAACGCTAATGCACCCCAATATATTTTCTCAGAGCATATGACGAAGAGGTGATTTGGACAACCTGGATCTTGGACATGGGAAAGAAATGTGAGGAAGAATTGAAATTTTGGAAGGGAAGAGAATAAAAGTCCAAAAATTAGTGAATGAAAAAGGGGTTGTGACAAACTGGCACATTGTGGTATTATAATTACCTCATGTGTGATCACCTTAATGAATCTGAATGTTCTCTACTTATAGTCCAACAAAACAATCAGAATATTTTTATTATTTATCCATCTAATTGCGTTTTGTCCTGATGAACGTTTACTCTTCACAGAAAAAGACCCAACTAACATCATACAGTCTGCACGTTCAGATACAATTGTGAGGAACAAGTAACTAAGACCATAACACACCCAGTTCACATATGCCAGTACTCTTAAAGCATTTGACCACAACGCCTTCTTCGTTAGTCAGATTAGCTCCGACTAATCCCGTTACAAGTGGCAAATTTGGGTGTCACAGGACCCGAATTCCCGTTGTTGAATTGTATGCCAATATTAATCTTTGTTCTACTGGGTGCTCGATCGATAAGTTGGACTGGTTTTTACTTCCCCACAACCGATGTTCTTTCCGGCATACAAATAATCGTACCAAATTCTAATAATAATAAAAAAGTAATTCAGATTTTTATAGTTATAACTCTGAGAATTAGTAATTTAATAGGGCAATAAATTTTCTCACAGTTGGCCAATTAATAGATGAGAATGATAAATTCTAAAGTCATTTCTACTTTTCACTTTGAGCATAGCAATTTTTTCTGCTCTTGTTTTCACATGAAGATTAGAGCAATACAGTCGATAAATAAGCAGCTAATAACTTTTTTTCTTATTTGCAGTTTTATTTAATTGTTTACACTTGCAAATGCAAACATTAATATGCCAGAAAGTATGATTTGCTTAGTTTGCACAGTTTCAACAAATGGAATTTCCTCAAACAAAAAATTCATCGAAACTGCAAATAAAAGGTTTTGTTTATTTACTTAGTTCCAAATTAATTTTTCTCTCCCGTAACGATTTAATAAACTGTTGCCATTTTACTAATGAGATTGTGGGAATGGCAAAATAGTGTTGCAAAATACAGGGCCACATTGCAGCAAATAATTAAACCAGGACACCAAAATCGTGAATTATCCCAAACCTAACGAAACATTCAGAGGCTTCATTTTATATAAGGAGTATAATTAAATTGCTATGTCAAAGTGCCCCAAAACACATTTTCCAGGGTTTGACGCCTGAATTACCAAATTGCTTCTTATCCTAGCTAGTCAATACATTTTTGACCAATAAACTTCATTGAAGCATTCGTTTAGCGATTTCAAATTCTTTTATCAATTTTTAACCCAAGACCAACATGGGAGCGGTAACACTCAAATACCATTTCATTTTCAGGTTAAAAACATCCAAAACAGGGTTTTGGTGTTAATGATGCAGACTCCATTGTAATCTCCAAATTTAATTTAACCCTTTAACGCCCTTATGACCTGCATGATTCTCTTTCAAAATAAACTCCTCTGGTACTAAACTCGTAGCAGAAGACGCTATTACCAGTTGAAACATATTCCTGATACGTCTATAGCCTTCGCCTGATATCACAACAAAATTCATCACGTCAGCGGCATCAGTCTGCTGTGAGATAAGCGTGAGTGCCGTTGGGTACATTTTCTCAAAAAAATAATTTAATCGTTCTAGAGAGAAAAAAAAGGCTGAAAGGTCTTATGTAGAGTTAGCAAAATTTTTAACAAAAGAATGAGATCTTGTACTCTTCAAGTTAAAGGGAGACTAGCACACTAAAGATCCATATCTTCAAGTTTCAGCTCCCACTGCTAAGCTCTCTAGTGAAATGACACGAGCAATGAGAACTGCTATCTAGAAGGTCATTAATAATTTCATCGATCTTTTATTACTGGTTTACAGTCCTCCTCCTTCTACTTGGGGAAAATGGCAGAATCGAGTGATAGGACCAACCATTTCAATTAATCAACTAGTCAATAAGCACTGAACATCAATGATAAGAAAGTGATGAGTCGTGCTAGGATAAGAAACACAAACTTGAATTTTTTGGAATGTTAGATAAATATGAGACAAATTTTGTATAATCGGAATAAAAAATATGAAATGGAACTTGTTTGAAGATTCAAATTCAGTTATACAACCATTTCCTTCTTTATTGATTTATTGTCACATAAGTTCATTTTGATATTATATTGTACTAATAGAGTAGTATACAAGCATCGTAACGCCCTCATAGTAATAAAGGCTATTAAGTGATTTAATAAACCGATAGTTTACAATGGGCCTATTTATTTTGACCTACGTAAATTCCAAATCTAGACACCTGTGACCTTTGAAATTGCGTTCGATCTGATTTTCTATTTTACTCAAATAACCAAGTACATATGAGACTGAGTTTAGATATCTGAAAAAAGTTTCAATTCTGGTATACTCAGTGCAATTAAAGAAATTGGTTATTAGAGAACATAAGGTGGGGCCGTAAGGTAAGTAGATTACTCAAGTTTGCTTCAGGAGAATTAGGAGAGGGAAAGAGCAAGAGGCTAGGAAAGAGAAGGGATAAGATGGGTTCGGACACAACACTCAGAGGCTGCTTTTTTTCACGTAGAGGTTCTCGATTTTGGGAAGGAGAGGCAGGAGACACAGGTGAGCAGGGATACTTGGAAAATTTCCGTTCTCCAACTAGGCTTCGTACTCGTAAACAAGGAGGTTGGGTGCTGTGGGATGAACACGAACCCGAGACCTCGAGCTCGAGGGTGAGTCCATGCGTTTTGAGAGTGAGGCAATACGTGGAAGCGATCGATTGGCGGAGCTCATTCGAGAAGGCGGAAGAGGTGAGAGGGGAGATTCCGAGGAGGAGTAGGAATCATGCCGACCATTTTCGTTGGACTCATCGGCTATTACATGCAAAAATTAATTATCAGAATGTGCTGGAGTGAGGGAGGGAATATGAGCTCTTTCGAGGTTAAAAGGCTTCCAAGCAACACATTCTGGTTTTATGAAACTTAATGAACTTTACGAACAAAGCTAAAGACCAAAGGTTACGACATATAATTCCCTTTTTAGAAGAACATGAACTAAGTGCCCTATTGGGAGAAAAGTAATAACTTAAATTGAAAATTGAATTGCCAATTAACTTTTAATAAATTGTCACTTTTGATTTTCTCTAGGCTTCAATAACTCTATTTAAGAAGTAGGTGAAGGACTTACATATTAAACAGTGATTCAATTAAGAATGTGAAATTTAGCCCGTATTTTCGTTGTGAAAGGCAGGGAACGACAGGACGTTTGGCAAGATGATTACAAAGCTATGGCAAACTTTCATCTCCGATTGCGGAAATCAATAATCGAATGCCAGTTGTTAAGCTTGAATAATCAATCAGCCCCGCCAAACGTATTAATCTCGTCTACCTTGTAGAATTTTTAAGTTTATTGCCATGCTAACTTCAATATATAATTCGCCATGAGCGCTCTTCGTATTCTTCACATTAATTTTCTGATAGAAGAGGCGAAACAATCAATTCACTGGTGGAAGTAGAAGGTGCCTTCAAAAAATCGCCGATCATTTGACGATTTGATAGCCCCCCTCCCAACCCCTCCCCCCCCCCCCCCCCCCCAAGATATGATTAAAATATCGGTACGAAATTGGAATCATTATAACTACCGCCAAAATACAAGAAATACAAATACGGCACAATATAATAAAAGTCGTGAATGCTGCAAAGTACAGTTTTCCCTCCTCAAGATTGGACTAACTCAATTTTTTAAAGTTTAGTGTGTTACTATTTAACAAAATAGCTCTGTTCTCATTTCGGTGCTCATCGCCATACATGCTGACTATGCCACAGTTGTTGTGGGGTGCCGATTGTAATGGTTTCGAATTACTTAATTATTAATATCCCACAGCTGTACGATTCAAATGTATGTACAGGGCTCTACTAACTCGACTTCCTCCTAGACCATTCAGGACTAAATGCTATGCGGGTCTGGAAAAGACGAAGAGCACTCCGGAATAACCATTTTAATCTCGTATACATGCATCTTAGCATAAATATATCATACATCCCGTGACAACCCCCACCACATTCCCAATATCTATTCTAGTCTACTCATTCATTTAGGCACGCAAATTTTTTGTAAACCACATGACTGGCTCATGCCATGTCTATAAAGTCTTGCTTCAAATTGGACAAATTAAGTTAGACTAGAGAGGAAACGGGTTTTCAATTTTTAATGAGGATAAGTAAAAGACTCATTAACAACAGCTTACTAAAAGCAGAGTGTGAAGCCTCACTTCCACCTTTGGACGATTCCACACTAACGGCATCACTGAGTCCATGCACAGAGTAGGCATCTGAGGCGATTGGATTAGGAAGGAGAATTGACTTATCTTCAGGATTTCCACCAACACTAGAGCAATCTCCTATTCTCTCCGGTGCATCTCCTTCTTCAGATGATGGTGTCAGTTCGATTTCCCTCTCACGTAGAAGTACCGGTTTATCTAAACTGATCTTATTTGGGCGTCTGTTACGTTCCGTCTGCAGATCAGATCTCAGAGCTTGGAGACGGTAGTAATCTCTGCAGTCTTTGTGACCACAATTCACTGCAAGTTGATAACCACCCCCAGTTCGACCGCTTGTTGATGAGATAAGAGTTGTTCCTGTAGCTCCTGCCACATCAGGCATGCTTCTAAAAGCCTTTAGTCGAACACTGTAAGCCACTAAGTTTTCATAACCCCTTTGAATCCTTTTTTGTGGATTATAAGAGACTGAAGTAAACGTTTTCGATGAACAGCTTGTGGTAGAAGATTTTGTAGAGCTTATTGATTCTGTTGATTTTGAAGAACTTGTAAAGTGTGTTGATGAGGACCTGGAACTACTGAATTCCACCCCGTACGGATCCACAATTTCTCGATTATCATAAAGACGGAATCTTGATGTTGCTAATGATCGGGTTCTTTGTTGTTCTGTGAGGAGTTTGCAGTTAAGAACGTGAGTTTCTTGATCTGACACTTCCATATTGAAAGTCCTTTGTCGTTGTACTTGATCACGTTCGGATTTCTGGTGTTGATTGCGATGGTGGTGATGTCCCTGGTGGTGTCTGCGGTGGCTACTTTTATCTCGTGGCTCTTCTTGAGCTTTGCTCGATGATTGTGATGGACGTGAATTTCGAGAATGTCGACTTTTGGTGCATGCTGTTGATGATATGGGTGGCGGCAGATTATTCATTCTAGGTGGAAGCTGTGGTTGAATGTAGCGAAGATTAGTCACTTCATCGGCAGTCTTGGCTGAATCACCTCGATCTAGAAAAGAATATTCGTTTACTTTCGAAATAAAAGGGACGCTTAACGTGACTAATCACATAATTTCCCTTTACTGCTTGTAAATAGTCTAATCATATATAAGTAATGGTTAATTCTGTCTGTTGATATATTTACTTCTCCTTATCTACAACTGACTCACTGAAGCTGGTGAGCATATGAGGGACGTTGATAGTGGGTTGCAGGTTTATTTGTGTTGACTACTCAGTATTTGTCAATCCGCCAGCAAATGTTCCAAAGGAGAGAATCAATAGAGATACGAAATTTTTTTGTTGACCAAACCACTTGTCTTCAACAATAATTTTTCCTTCCAATAGTATTTAACTGTTACCGGTTAATGGGTGTGAAGACCAATCATCGAAGTGTAGTAGTAGTGCTACTTTACATCACCCTTTAAGTGTCTACCATGAAAATTTTAATAAATATGATGATCTTAGAAGAAAAAGCATATAATTAGCTATCGGGAAAATACACAATGATTTACAATAATACACCTTTCCATCAAAGTAAAAATGAGTAACAAAATTCACCCCATTCAGAATAAATCAATAAGGTATTAAAAGTTCAGCACTATGTATTTTTATGAAATTGTCAACAGCTTTCACTTATTTTGATACCATATCACCATTACTCTTACTTAAATAAGAATGACAAGCTTTAAATTAGACTAATCCTTAAGAAATAACAGAAGCTGACAGAACCCATTCAGTTCAGTTGGCCTATATCACCCCTCCCCCCGACCTATTTTACAATCATTTCTCAGTGTTCTCCTTCTGAAAGGTTCTTCCCAAACGTTGTTGAGTACTTAATTGATGTAAGCTCCAAAGCTCCTCCGTCAACCACTTGTTGAACAAAAACCAATGCAATTTTTTTCAGACATCGTCTTTTACATTAAGTCAGCCTTATCCATTCTTAATGAAGTGCGCTAAACACTTATGGGTTTCGATTTACAGTGGAAAAATAATTTCCATTATACCGATAACAGTTAATATTTGCAAAAATAAAGAAGTGAATCTACAACTCACTGGTTTAGGATTTCATTGTAATCGTATACACAATCACAGGACTCTAAATATGAAACACTCAAAGCATTAGCTTAGTAATTTGGCTCATTGAGCACTCTACTGGAGCAACTTAAACATCTTTTTGAGAGTGAAAATTTCACAAACGGAGAATTAGTGTTCAAACTTTTTTCTAGTCTGATATTTTTTTCTATTAAAATTTATTTTTAAAAAGGTGAATAAAGGAAAAGAAAACTCTCAACTTTTCGCTTCCTCTTAAGTTAAAATTGAGGAAAAACGAACGCAAAGGAGGGATGGAGGACCTATTTGAGGAACAATTTTGCGCAGAAGGAGTCTGTAAAATTTGACTGAAAAAGAAAGCCATCGGCCAGGGGATTTAAAATTGAGTTAAAAGGGAGCTAAATCTTCTTCGAAACAATAAATCTATTCAAAAGATATGTCTTTGCTTAAAATGGTAGCGAAAATAACATGAGCCCCACAAGCAAACAACACTGCCGATGTTTAAATGAAAGTAAATCAAGTCGTCGTGGCCTTTGTTTACTGTCTCATTGTCTTATTCAGTTCATTTACGAACCGTAAAGACCAAACTGATTCAGGCATGATTTGCCTCTCAAGTTTAGAAACTGTATTATTGCATTTTGATTTATATGTCCACGAATATTTAGTATGTATGACGAATATTTTTTATTGATTGACCACCTAAAATATTAAACTGTAAGATAACCTAATCAATCAGCCTACATAAGTACATCCTAGTAAGTACCACAAACTAGTTTCTCCCTCGCTCAGCGTTTATAATTGTTGCTATCCCTTCTAATTCCCTATTATTCTAGATGTCTTCTGAGTTCTTTAAGATAATCTTTTCAACTAAAGAATGCCTTGGTTTCCTGTAAGTCTCCAGGATGGCCACTAATTAGGATATGAGGTTTAATTTTGTATGGACCATGAAGTATTTCAGGTACGAGGCTAGGCTTTACTTCCGTCCAACCAGCGTAGATCAAAGAAAACTGCTAGCACTATTGTCAACTGACTATAATTAAGTGGAAAGATGAAGAAGATGAGAGAAATTAAATAACATGTCTCCATTGGAGACATTTATTCAAACCTAGGAGAAGCACTCTAGGGTACCCTTAAGAGAAAACATCAAATGAAAGTGACCTCTTACTACGACCGAACCACTATGTGACAAAATATGCCTATGTTTTACAACGATTTATGAATAGAAGGCTAAAAATAGTCATTTCATTGTAAAATTAATTCTTACAAGTTAGTTTCTAAAATGCATTGATAATCGTGGCAATTAACTTTTGGCATAGAAACAGCGAAAGTTATCCACTGCGTAAAATTTTATTTTATGGAAAGAAACTCGTAGTACCATTTTTAGTAAAGTTATTCAGTCAATAACAATAAATCTTCCACTTACTTAGAGAGCTTCAGTAAAACAAAATTCCAATCGGATGAGACGTGGAGGAAAGGATTTTGCTCAAATAGTTTTTTTTTATATAAAAATACATGTGATTTAGTCTTTCAAACCAACCCTTCCCCCTTTCCTGGAACCTTAAAACAGCTGTTGGGGAAAGCATTAGGGTTAGTTTTCACAAAAGTTATTTTAGCCTTAATTTCTAGATCTTTACACATGCAGTTACGAAATCAGGAGTCGTATTTGCTAATTAGCAAATTATAATTCGCCGTACATTCTGATATGTAGATGGCTTGACCTTCATGAGTACCTCCTCAGTACAATCCCACTTGTTTCATAGACCAGTACGGGGAAAGACTGCAAAAGAGCAATTTTGAAATGTAGAGAGCAGATCGTTCATCTGCAAGTGGAAATGTGCTAAAAATGTCAATTTTCCCAAATATTTTTGAAGATTGTTAGTTCAATTCCTCTTGATAAATTCTGGTTTCAGCTTTTCTTTGAACTGTTTTCATTCAGCAGTTGGCGATAATTGATTGGTGACTAGCACTTTGGAACTTTAAGTAATGAAGTTGAAAAATCTGGAACGAGATACAGCTCAAAGCCTTTCCTCTGCCAATAAATTAGTGTGCGTTAAAATAAGCATAAACTAAATTAAATGTTGGTTTGGCTTAAACTTCGTATTTCTGATTTTAGATGTCACAGCGACTGATTTAAACAAAATGGAAGAATAAAACGCGTTAAAGAACTTGGAACAAAAAAATGGATTTGAACTACCGTTCCAAAATATCTTTGAAACTAAAACGAATAAGCCTTCGAAGTGGTGAGACCGCAAAATGAGCACGAAAAAGATAATTATGTGGTATCGTTTTGTTGGCAGTTTTCTCACAACAACAATCCATAGATACCTCAGTCTGCCCAATAGATAATTTCTGAAATCCATTTCAAGCTCTAACGCGAATTTGAAAAGTAGGAAATTGAAGGAGAAGTAAAGGGGAAATCGTGAACAAAAAACGATCGAGTCAAGAAGCCTTTCAAATGTCTTAGGTAAAGAACTGGACCAATTCTCAGCCTATGGTTTGAAGGTCACAGTGAAAAACAAGTATCGCAGAGCTGAATTATGGAGGAATGAATGTGATATTTGCGGGTTAAAATATATTGAAGTTTTTCTTATAGCAGACGTTGATTGAGTTTAGGCCAAGGTAAAATTAACAATTAAGCATGTTTCTCAAACTTTGTTTTAATCGAATGTTGTGTTGCTCCGCAAACTATGTTTGCTCACGTAATTTGATATTAAAGAGCTCATATTCTGAAATTCAACGTCCATAAAACCCTTTCCTCTCTCTACAATACTACCATCCGAACCAGGGTCTCTTTTGAAATAAAACCCTTATTTCCATTCAACTTTATAATTAAGACGTCAAAAGCAACAAAATATTGGACAACGGTTTCAAATAAATTATATTGAACCAATTAATCAATCGCGTTCAGCTTCATAGTTACATGGATCACGATAACTTAACATATTTGCCTAACAGAAATAGATATTATAGCCGTGCTGTCCATGATTCAGTACAGCACAAAATCCTGCCCCCCCCCTCTCACTTCGGGAAATACTGATGTAACCAATCTCTTTAGATAACTTCGGGGTTTTACTAATTTTAATTTTATTCAGCTCAAATATCCTCTAAACAAATTAAAATTTACATTGTTAAGAATTCTGGGAACAATTTTAAATATGAGATAATTGATATATTCACTAGATTGCCTGGAAATTTAAGTTTGTATACGTTGTGAATTTATTATTATTATCTTTCTGTAAATATGCTCCAACTCCATATTATTTATCCACTGATATTTTGTTTTCATATTTTTAAGTTTTTCAAACTTGGGGGTAAACTGAAGCTGAGTTTGACAGATCTGGGACGTCGTCGTAGAATTTAAGATAAACTTGTCAAAATTTAACACATCCAAGTTAGTTGCAGGAATTACGAATTGAAAGTCATGGCTCTGTCTAACCTCAGTCACAATATGCACGATACTAAGTAAAAAATTAAGTACCACGCAATTTGACTTTTCAGCATCAAATTCCAAGAAACGCAAGCAAAATCAAAGAACTGCTGGGCATTTATTTCTTCTTACAAGAAAATCGAATAGAATAAGTGACTTCTAGAAACAGTTGGCAATGCAATTCTAACGCGTAATATCTTTCACTTTGGAAGATATTCACCAGACTCCGAGGGAAATGTGATTTAAAAATTTAGATGTCAAGATATGAAATTCTAAATTATTTAAGTTATATCGAAAGTAGGTCAAATAACCATGCATGCAAACTATAAATAAGTTTGTTTAGGTCGAGTGGTCTATCATAAAGAAAATAATGCAAATGACTAAAGGCAATTAAAAAATTGATTCTTTAAGTCGCAATTGTAAAGATTATTTGTTTGTTTTTTCTGTCGGTATTTTCTTCTTTTAATTTAATAATTTAAGAAATTATTGCTGATGCTGCTTGTGAACATCGAAGGAGAACGACAAAAATATTTTTTAATTTCGTCAAGGTCACTTACAAAACGAGAATTCACTTTTTGCCAGGTATATTTGACTTAGATTTCACGCATAGGGACATTGACAGAAGGAGTGAGGGAAATGGGCACCCATTTAAAATAATTTATATGCAAATAGTCCAATCCTAGTAAAATCTCTCCTGAAATCTGTAGTTGCAGCCATTTGAATATAGTTACTGCTGGAATGCATGGAGGAGGAAATCTTTCTTAAGAGCTGGGAATCGAAATCTTACTAGTGTCGGTAAACTTGGAGGGATTTGGATAAGTGCAGCAGAGTTAATAGACCAAAATTAGCATTCAGTTGGGTGTGCGGGGTATTCCATTCTTCCTCACTTCCTAGTGGACATAAATCCAACTAAAACGTAATTAGTCAAGGGCGCAACCAACCTTGAAGTATAAGAGGTTCAAGTAGCCATTACTAGAAATTGAAACCTGTAACCCTGAGGATTTTTCTGTAACGTGCTTAGGACATTCACGTAGTATGAACAGGAGGAAATGGTCTTAGTGTTAGGCTTCAAGTGTGGAATAATAACTTTTGATGTAAAGTCTAACGTAAAGGTGCTTGCTTGAAATTGAATACTTTGATTCAAGAAGAAGAAAAAAGGATGTCCATCGAATATGTCTGCGATCAGCAACAAGTTGAAAGAAGCCAAAACATAGAATTTTTGACGACCTTAGCGGATAAACTTAGGATAAGGCCAAATTCCATGGTAAGCACAGAGCAATAACTCTTCCGTCGATAAAAATTCAAATTAACTTTATAGTCTTTATTAATTCATTTCCAAATCAAGAACCCGATTATCTTATTTTTAAATATGTCGATATTCACCGTATGAAGGAAGAACTTTTTAATTGAAAATAGGTAGGTCAACCTGCTTTATCAAATTTGAAAGAAAAATTGAATGCTTGTAACAAGGTCGACTGCCATAATTGCTCACTCGGTTAAATAATACTGAATGATTCGCAGAAGAATTTGCTAAGTAACAACTTGTGATCCTTGAATTCGAAAAGTTGAACTGTTCATTTGGCGGATGATTTACACCTCAACACCGATAGGCTAATTGTCTCATTTGTTGGAACTTCTTCCAACCGATTTCAGTGCTGATGTGGAATGCAAAAAAGCAATGGCTTTTAAGCTTATAAAAAAGTGCGTGAAATAATGAAGCATTTCTTAAGAATATGCGACTTTAACTCAGCCATAAATTTCTGCTGGGCTAAAAGCCTAGGCGGCTGTCTGGAATTGCGATATCAGATGATGATGAGGTACCACAACTTCGAGACAATTACAGACTGAAGAAATGATCAAATCAGATGATTGTGAAGATAGAAGATTGGTTGAATTTTTAACTCATTCCAAAAATGTTAGTGACTTTAAATAAATGCCAATTGTGAATTAAGGATCCACAGACACATTCGAAATACTTTAATTTAAAAGAGTTCTACAACCTTGCAAAATTTTTTTAAATCAATAGGGTGTTCCTACTTCCCTGCTGGCATTCATGAACATACTAAGATTTTCATCATCCTCACATTCATGTGCCTGTCGATAACTACGTCTCTGATGACATTCTTTGTCCTTTCTTGTCATTAAGCCTCCTTTGATCAATCTACCACTCTTTCAATCATTTTCAATGAGACTAACTGAAATTAATATGATGGAAAAAAAACTAGATATTAGTCACCTAATTCCTGCAAAAGAGTAATTATTTGATTAATTCGTGAAGACTTTCCTTCCACTGACATGCAGCAGGCGAGCATTCGGAAACCCGAAAAACAGGCCAAATCTAGTAATTTAGCTTCTTCCTCATAAATCTCCCGGATATCTGAATACATAATCAATTGAAGGGAGTTAGGATATTGAATGCGTGTCCGCATTTTACGAAGAAGTTAAACTAGGAACGTCTTCTATATGGCTAGAAAATGGTTCTGTTTGCAATATACTGGTTCCTTTGACCGATGTTTCACACAACACTTTCAGCTAAAAAGACGTACTTTTCTAACTTTTTACGTCTAATAGTGGTACGTATCACAACTCAAGTGATCTAACGCTTTTTTTCTTTATAAATCACTATCAAAAAAGAACACATTTATTTGTGACTCAAATTAATTTAAAACTTGGCTTTAATTTATTAAAAATGGCGCAATATTTTGAAAAGAAGTGCTGAATAAATGAAATTATTTATCCACAATTCTAATTAGAAGTCATGTCCCCACAAATGTGAATTTGCTAAAAGTGCCACAAATAAGTGCTCATATTTTGACATCCGTCTTACAGAAAGGAAGAAGTAATCCGCGTTTGCCAAAGCAGATTTATTTAATAGACCAAAGATATTTTAAAATGATCGGTCGAGAGTATAAACAATTGTCCTCAAATTCAGGTTGAATTAGATTAATCGGAAAAGAAAGGTAACATCCACTTCTCTGACAAATAACACAATATGACAAATTCTAACTCTTATCAATTTATCATCTGAATCCAGATGAAAAAATCTCAGACTTACTCAATTTTCCACGAGAATGATGGGTTTGGGAGTGTTGAATTAAATTGACATCCGATTGCCAAGGGTCTCTCTGTTGTTTGGGCTGTTGCTGGCGCTGTTGAATCTGCTGATGGTGGAGGAGAGCATTCCTCGATTTACTGGACTTAGTAGCAGGTGATTTGGTGTTTGAATTCAGTCCGAAAGCTCTGGCAATAGCTGGCGACGCTTTTCTTTCCCAATTGTGATTTGCAAAGACTCCTTTCTGATTTGATCCAGATTCTCGACCAAGAAGTGCATCCCCAGAACTGGAGAATGGGGGGTCATTCTCCAATTCGTCCATATCGATTATCACGTCAGTGTTGAGTAATTTGGCAGCTTGGAGGGAGGATGAGGAGGCATTTTTCATGCCATTTTTTGTGTGATTTGAGCTTAATCGAGATCCATCAAGCTCTGGGGGCAATTTTATCTCTATGATATGATTACTCGCCTCCTTCCTCTTCCTTCGAATTGCGAAAACTAAAGTTAAAGGACGCTTCAAGATATGTATGAATTTAATATTGGGCAAATTTTTTGGATTTAATGAAAAGAAGTTTTGTGCATTGGTGAAATTATTGCAGCATTATATTCTGCTTTAAAAATCGTCTTTAATATTTATTTGGGAGACGTTATTGAGCCTTTCAAAAGAAATGTGTTCATTAACTGAGTGAGCAGAGAGGGTTCTGTTTTGGAACTACGATTTCTTTTTTAATTCCAATTTCAAATAAGGCATCCTTTTTCATTATCTTCTGATACTTTTGAGAAAGCGTTCGAATGAAACTTAGCCTTGATTATTAATGAGCGAAATATTTATTTGTTTAGAATTTTCATCTGTTTTCTCGCATTCATTCAGTTCAAATTTTTCCAAAACTTTCAGCCCAGCAGGGTGGAACTAGCCAATATGAAATTAACATTGTGAATCATTAAGCTTTCAAGAATTTTAAGCCGAAAAATTGATAAGCACAAATAAGAATCATTCCAAGCATGAGGTCTAGAAAAGATCTTTTTTCCCGAACTGAAATAATGAAGTCTCCTTATTATCGATCTCATTAAATGGATTTTTGAGCGTTAGTTTCCTTCGTATCTGATACGGACATTTTAGACCAAAGGGATTTAGTGAAACAAATGTCCGATAGAGTGTGTCTATCAAAGACAAAATAATAGGCTTTATTCAAGAGAGGCCTTAAACTACAATAGTGGTACAAATTTCAAATATCTAATACAAATTTAATCATATGCTTTTCTAGTCCAATAAGCTAGGTAAGTACAAATGCGCTGGAAGGAGAACTACAACTTGGGAATTTAAATGATCAAAGCGAGAACAAAATTTTACTCAGTTGCCAACTCAATTTTACCAGAACGCCCTTAGGACTGCATGGTCCTCTTTCAAGCTAAGCTCTATTTGTGCTAGACTCGTAATAGAAGAAGCTATTGCCTTTGAAATATGTTCAATACATCTATGGCCTTCGCCTGACACCACAACAAGACTCATCACATCGGCAATATCAGTCTCTGTGAGACAAGCTTGAGTACGGTTGAATGCTTTTTCCAAAAAATAATAATTCTTTGTTCTAGGGATAAAAAAGGCTGAAAGGCCTTATACACTGTAAGCAAAGGTTTTAACAAAAGAATGAGATCTTGTACTATTCAAGTTAAAGGAAGACTAGCACACCAAAGATCCATATCTTCAAGTTTCAGCTCCCACTGCTAAGCTCTCTAGTGAAATGATACGAGCAATGAGAACTGCTATCTGGAAGGTCATTAATAATTTCATCGATCTTTTATTGCTGGTTTACAGTCCTCCTCCTTCTAACTTGGGGAATTTGGCAGAATCGAGTGATAGGACCGACCATTTCAATTAATCAACTGGCCAATAAGCACTGAACATCAATGATAAGAAAGTGATAAGTCGTGCAAGGAGAAAACCATAAATAGACCGTTAAGACGTTGCGGTAAAGTGAAAATCACAAATTTAAGTAAAACATGACAATTTCCAACCCTCCAAAAATTACAAATTATATCCTTCCCTTGCCGTACGTAGTGATAAAATTGAAATTTAACTTACACATGCAGATGACAGCAATGAAAATGAGGATGAGCGAGATGGAACCGATAATGGCAGAATGTTTTTCCATATCCTGGTCCTGATCCTCCTGGCCGTTTTTTGGATTGCCCTCAGTATCAGGTGGGTCAGTACTATCATTAGGGTTTGTCTTTTCTACAAGAAAATGACGCAAGTAAGTCTGCCAATGCAAATACAATCACTAATATGAAATCAATGGCTTTCTTGCCACTTTCAATTACCCCACATAGCCTAGATTAATGGCATTATTTAAGGGGGATTATAGCTTAAAATAACGAAACGACTCATGTAAATCAGTGTGCCCTAGTGATGCGCATTCTTCCACCAAGGAATGAATTGGATATGATTGGTGAAATGCGTGACAACAAAGGTTTTCTCAATGTAACTTAAATGAATTGTTGTACAAAAAAAGATACATATTTCTTTTCTCTGCCTCTACAACTGAATCATCAAATATGATGAAGTACAAGGGATGAAGATATTGCTTATGGTTGTTACTAATCAGTGATTGGTCAGTGTTGTTCCAATGCTTTGTTTATAGAGCGATTTCCACGTTTCAATATAACCACTTTAATGCTAATTAGGAACTATGCTTTTCATGACCGTTCATCTTCTCCTTATCAATATACTTCGTAGAACTTTGCATCTAAATAAGTTGTTGTTTTCTTAACAATTGCTGGAGAAACTCAACTCTGATGATGTATAAACAGTTTCAGCTCACAAAATTTAGTACACTGAAAGTCAATCTTACATGAGACTTCGTGGTAAAATGTGGCTTAATATGCACTGGAATAAGAAATAGGCTCTCGAGGATCTACTTTCTAGTAGTTCCAGTATTCTGTTGGGAAGGGTGCACGATAGACTTACCTTTACGTGCACCCTGGGGCAACGTATGCTCATAGGGCAAACAAGTCTATAAACCGCCAGTTGACTTCTGACTTCAAATTAATATGACCCCACTGTATGTCCCATTCGATCACTTCCGCAGTACTCACCTCATTTTACTTTTTTCTCTACCTTTGTGTCTGTCTCTTATGCATCTGTGAATCATTCTTCTGTTCCCCCCCCCCCCACTCGACATTTTATGACTTCTGTCAAGATCGAAGTCAACTAAAGGGCTAATAATAACTATCATTAAGACTGTCATTTGATTTTTTAAAATAAAATATTTATCGATAATGCCCGGATTCCTTTATTGACAATACACTTTTCATTCTTATTTGTCATTTTAAATAATTTATTAGTTGATTTCCCAAATATAATGTGAAGTCACAAGAAATTAAGACCTTTCATCGACATATTCGAAATTTAATTTACTACTCCAAAAACATTAAAGAAGAATGCAAGGTTCGGAAATAAGGGGGTTCTTCTGTGTTCGATTTAAAGACAACTAGACGTAGGAATTTCAAGTAGCATTTCGAAATGTTTGATCATTAAACATTTTCCATAATTCTATTATTTTTAACTCACATTCAGTTATACATCCAAAAATTATGTTATTTAATTTTTATGAAAACTTGGTTGCGTAATAGACTTACTTAACTGGCAGTTGACTTCTCACTTCAAACTACCACCACCCCACTGTATCATATTCCACTACTTTCACAGTACTCATATCACCTTTTTTCTACCTTTGTGTCTGTCTCTTTTACATTTTTGAAACACTCTTCTCTTCCCTCCCACTCCCCTCCTCTCGACTTTTTTTCCACTTTGATTTTTCTTCCCCTCTGTGAAGCCTGAAGTCAACTAATGGGCTAATGATAACTATCGAAACACCCGCCATTTGATATAAATAAATTTTTATGAAAACTTAGGAATGAAGTATAGTGAAGCAGGCAAATGACCTCTTCAATTTCAATGCGTTAATGAAATAAAAGTGAATTTTTTTTCTGACAACTTAATTTCGAAGCCTGAGTTACCATCACCTTATGTAGTTGGATCACTATGCTCAAAATCAAAATACTTTAAGTGAAATTGTCTCATAAGCTTATTTTCATCTCCATGACACGGTTGGTGTTTGTAGGAAAAGGGAATTTTGGTTGAAAACCAGATATGAAACAATAAAATGATGATCAGTCACGCTCTGTCACTCTCATTCTCGCAACACCTCTGGACAACATGAAAGTAAGCTAAAAACCTCCCTATATTAAGCAATTTCACTTGCTTCATAATATACAACTTTTAGACCAAATAAATAAACGGCTGCTCGATAATCCGACAGTTTTAATAGTGATGAGATTATATTTCCTGTACTTTACAAACACTTTAATCAATGGTTTTAGGCCCAAGAGATGAAGGTTATGGCGAATCGATGGTTTGCTTCCATTTTCCATTTATCACTTTCTCAAAGATTTTAAACCATAAAAAATGTGGCCAAGGTTTTACTCTATCTACTTTTTATTCCAAAACTCGCAATATGTTCACTACTCCGAGTTTAGTTTTAACTACCTACGCAATTTCGGAGAATTTAATAACATTTGATAAAATCAAAACAAATAATTTTCCTAGCCCCTTTCAGGGAAAGGATGCAAAACTTGGAAGGCAATGAGGAAGGAATAGCGCTCACTGCAACCCCCCTCCCACACCAAATAAGTTTGCCAATGCTGGTCAGATGTGTGTTGGACTATCAGAAATGGAGAGATTAAATTTTGCCATAAATAGTTCCATACTAATTAAGTTCTTCCCTTAGGCTACCCAAGGCAAATCATTTCGATTTCAAGATTTACCGAAAGTTATCTTTTCTAACGATAAATCATAAATGAGTCAATAGTGCTGGAAACTCACATAGTAAATACAATTGATTGCCAATAAAACTCACAAACCTTGCTAAAATTTTTGACATGAAAGATGAAGTTTGGCCGATTTTTTTAATTAAATCAATTTAATTATGGCACAGTTGTTAGTAGACAATGATGATGGCTTAAGTAAATAATTTTACCAAAAAATTAACTTAACTGACGGGTAATGAGGATGTAAAGATACTTCATACTATTCAAAAGTAAAGTAATGGAAATACAGTTTTCAAGTTTGTCACTTGATCTATTTTGTCCCTAAATGTGTTCTTAAAACAATCTTTCCTCGACGCGATTGAAGATATTTATCACATGCTTACTCTCTTATGAGTATTTTAAAAGTATTAACCTTGAATTCACCTGCCCCTCACAGAATATTCCACGGAGATTTTACAAACATTAAAGCTATTTCTATGGCTTTCATCGTGATCTTGATAAGTATACAGTGGCATTCATTAGACAACATCCGAGTCCCTTACGGAAAAGCCATTTTTCAGCATACATTGTGATGCCTTCCTTGTGAGAAATCGAATTTCCTTCACAATTAATGCCCGATAAGTTATCACTAATCACGACATTACCCCGCAAACTTTCCTTATTTTTTTCTTCAAACTTGAAACACTAAACTAAGTTCTTTGTTAAAGTGAACCATAAATTGACTTCTTCCTGCATTGGGTCTCTGCTCATAGGCGTCTAAATGAATTGAACAATTGAATGGAACCCGAATTGGTGACTGATTCATTGCAGATACTTTACACCTTTTGGTACTTGTTTATTGAGAAGCACCCGATCAAGGTTTCTGAATAAAACAAATAAAGTGAGTATGACCATGTTAAATAAACATATGCTAAATAATGGAGCAAAAAAGACCAAAGGAGTAAGAAGAAGAAGGGCTAGAGTCTGACCTGGATTGCATGCGGCGTCACCCTCGTCTTGTCCCAGGGGACAGTTGACCACTCCATCGCACCAATGTCCAATTTGTATGCAGTAGGAATCGTCACATGCTCGCTGATTCGGTGCGCAGGCTGCAAACGCATAGGGGACTCAAGTCAATACGACAAGGGCAATGAGTAATTGTATCAGCACCAAGCATGCTTCATAGGTCACAGGGGCAAACTTAGTCTAAAGATATGTGCCCCCATTGACACGTCGGCATATTGGTGTGCACTTCATCCCTTGCCCAGATTACCCACTACATTATAAAACCCAAATTCTTTCATACACATAAACACCCACAAATAGTAGATCGGTGTTGCATGCAACAGCCAATCATCTGTCTCCAAGCTCGGTGCCAAAAACACATTGTCCTGTTACTTTCAAGGACTACTTAATCACGTAACTTTACGCACTAATTTCTGAGGCAACATCTAACCTGAAAACTAATCAGATTAGAATAGGTAGATGATATAACGCATGATTAAACAAATGTACTTTACAGTTATTTGAGAATGGTTCAAATGGAGCTCAAAATAGAAAATCCTTGCCAAATGTAGTCAATATTATTTCAAAAGTAAAATATGGCCAAGAGGTAAGGTACTTTTAGTCAATACTGAGTGTAATTTTTATAATCAGCAATCCCTGAGAGTCTTATACAGAATTCTAAAAGATAATCAAGCTATCATATATCAAAATATGAACCAAATTTTGTTAATAAGGGTAGTAACAGGCTATCATTAGGAAACATTAGGCGCGAAGTGAACGAATAAAAATGTCGGCATATATTCTTTAGTATGACCTGAATAGTAACACAATCACACCGCATGAACCAATAAGGCATCCACTTGCCTCATAAAAGAACCAATGTTTTTCGTTTTGTGCAAGGGAAAAATAGCTACCCCAACAGTTTATTCAGGATAAGAAGAAGCCGAAAATGCTGCATACCTAAGGCCTTAAAGCTCTTTATGGTATACAACAACACATAATGGTTAAGAGCATGGAGTGTGCAATAGACTTATCTCCACGTGGTGCACCCTGGGCAACCTATACTCATACGGCAAAGAAGTCTATAAATCGGCATTTGACTTCTGACTTCAGACTACCATAACCCAACTCTTTGCCATATTCAACAACTTTCACAGTACTCATCTTACCTTTTTTCTTTGCCTTTGTGTCAGTCTATCTGTCTCTTTTACATCTTTGCAACACTCTTCTGTTCCACCCTCCTCTCGACTTTTTTCACTTTAATGTTCCTTCCCCTCTGTGAAGCCTGAAGTCAGCTAAAGGACTAATGATAACTATTAAAACGCCTTCCAAGTGATATAAATAAATAAGTTATTAAGAGCATTAGGACAAATTGGCGAGCAGGGTGACAAAATATCAAAAAAAAACAAGTATTTGCATCTTTTAATTTAACTGAAACACGCTTCTAGCCATAAGGATCATTGCATAATTATTGCGTACACTTTTACTGAACAGAAATGGCTTAATCACTCAATGCACCCAAATCGAGCAAATCTACCTTTAGCCAAAACTATGAAAGTATGATTCCTTCATTTGCTACAAATCAAGAATTCAGTGATTCAATGCAGCAGGCTGACTTCTAGTCTTCCTTGTTGAACGGAAATAACCAATGATAGTTGCCTTTTACTTCGGGCTTAAATAATCCAAATTTTCAATAAATTGAGCAGCAACTTTGTCATGAATATAGTCTTTCCAGATCTATTTTACATGATTTCTGACATGCCAAAATAGCAATCTGTCCCAGTGTTGAAGGGTAGGAGGTTCATTACAAAGCGAGTTGAATTCTGTGTACAACTATCAAAAGAATCTAGCCTAATTCAGTGAAATAATTATTTGAAAAGGTAGGAAAATGTAAGACTTCGTTGTTAATAATCGTTAAGTCACTTAATTTTAAAACCTAAACTTCCTACCGAATTGTTCATTTGATACGATCATCATCTCTTATCCAACTGGTCACTTGAACTTAATATAATTGTATAACTGTGGCCAGGAATATCCCTATATAATTTCATAAAAATATGGCACTCCGTTTTTGAATAGCAGTATGGTCTCAAGTTTAACCATTGGATTCAAATCACCCCCTTCAGTGCATGACCTTAAAACTGCCCTGGATATTACTAAACTATGTCTTTTAGCCCTGGGTGTGCGATAAACTTACTCCTACGTGGTGCACCCTGGGCAACGTATACTCACACGTCAAAAAATCTATCAATAGGCACTTGACTTCTGACTTCAAACTGCCACCATCCCACTGTATGTCATATTCGACCCCTCCGCAGTACTCATCTTACCCTTTTCTCTGCCTTTGTGTCTCTTTTACATCTGTGAATCATTATTCTGCTCCCCCCTCCCCCCTCTTTCGAATTTTTGTCACTTTGATGTTCCTTCTCCTCTCTATGAATCCCGAAGTTAGCTAAAGGCCTAATGATAATTATCAAAACGCCTGCCATTTGATATAAATGTCTTTTAGCCCATAGGCTCATTACAATTGGACGCTTCCGTGGGTAGAGTGAATAGACCAACTGTGCCTTGGCTTCATATTTTCCTTCTGCACCATGGTTTTTCGCAATGCACTGTCCATAGCTTGGGAAATAATAATCCACTTACTCTTTGCCATTGCCTCTATTCCTTCATGTCGAAATGTAATTTTTGAACAATGCTTAAAATGGGGATACTTTTTTAAAAATTCTTTCAAAAATTAAAAAGTTTACCTATTCTATGTCTTTTCAAGCGAATAGAATTTATTTTGAAAATAAAATATTGAAAAAACCTATTTATCTTTTAATCATCTTCTATAGTCTGGGTTAGATAAATCCCTATTTGAAAATCCGCCTACATTTTTTATAATCCATTTTCCCAGAAATTATTAGATGCGCTTATTAATGAAATATATCAATAGGACTATGGGATTGTGTTCTATCAGCAAATCTTGGTTGAGATCAATGGGTTCATTATAATGAATACATTGAACTTTAGATAATGAAGGCATTTTTGTCGGTTATAGTGGTTGTTGTCAATTTTATGGAAGGCATAATTCCTCGACCTAGTCACCTACTAACCCCCATACTTATATACCTATATTTTCGCTCGCACACACTAAAACATACCAAGACATGAGGCAGACCGGACTATTTCTATAGAGCCAATGGGAATGATTTGACTTATTCATCTAATACACATGAGCACTCACATTAATCTTTGCATATATCTGTGGCCTATTTATTTGCCAAAAGAAGTGCAGTTGTGTAAAAAAATTTCATATAGTAATTTAAAAATAAAGACCTGATCAAGATTCGTGTCTACTAAGTTTGAGCTCACAAGATCGATTTTTATCGCCGCACATTCGAGGCATGGATAACCAAGCAGACAGCTTCAATCATCTTAACAGGAGGGGAGTTGGAATGCCACTTTAAAGTAAGGTCGGTTGACGAATGATTTCTCTCCACCCAAAATAGGTATGAAATCACTAGTTGGTGCTTCAAATGGAAACTTGTAGACACCAATTGGTGTTAATTTCTTCACAATAAAGATTATTAAAAGTATTTTAGAAATAGAAATTGAATGGACTTCTTATCCACTTTTCAATTCAAAAAGAGAATGACGATATTATCCTAACCGAGATAAAATGTTTTGGGGTTTAACATGTAATGAAAGATCGGTAAAATTATGGAAAGCTAAGGCAGATGATGGCGTATTAACAACTAAGAAAAACTGTGCCATATTATAACTAAATTCTATTTACTATATTTCCTATCATTCAAATCAAACAGCCATATAAGTGCATGAACAGTAAATAATCAGCTTCTAACTTACCGCCATCGACTCTAGGTGAAAGAGTAGTAAGTGTGAAGGTAAAATTAGGTAGCATTATGAATAAATCCAGCTTTTTATCTGTCTCGTAGGGATCCTTTCCATTATTCATTACACTCTCCTCTCCACTAGGCTCATGTGGCGGTGGCTTGGAGGGCTTTGCTACAACTATTCGAATAACTAGACGAGGTGATTTCACCACAAATTGCCTTTTTGGTCCCTCGTCATCCTTATCAGATGAATCACCAGAACCAGCTGATCCTGATCCTCCGCTTGATCCATCGTCACCTCCTGAGAGATCTGAATTAGCTGTTACGATGCAGAATCTATCAACTCGAGGACATGGCGGGGAGGCTTCAGCAAGAGTTTGACCATCTGCATAAATTTCCGCATAGGTGTGAAGTCCATCCATATATGAGGTAGGATCAGGTATAATCTTTGTATACTGCTTCACTATAAAGTGCAGATGTTAAAGTCTCAATAAGATAACTAACCTTTTAATATATTGGGTGACCTCTCCGTGTAAGTATCCATTTTCATGATGATGGGTCGGGAGTTGTAATCACAAAAATGAGTTGATTTCTGTTTGGCAAGAAAATGCGGTTCACAACTCCAGGACGTTGCCTGTGGTACTTGAAAGTGGTGCACGAAGAGAAGAATCTATAAAAAAGTGATGGATATATTGACATTCATGTTAAACAATACAAGACGTTATAAAGATTTTGTTCACAAAAACTCATATGAATAATGTTGACAACTAAATTGTTCAGTGATAATTGAAACGTGGATACTTCTCATCACTTCATTGCTAATTATTACGAAAAATCACGGGGTCCTGACTTTCAACCCTCACCACTTGACTTCAAGTTAAATAGGTGAGAACATAAATGATACTCATACGGTTAGCCAAATCATTTCCAATTTCGCATTTCCTTACAACCACTATAGGGATCTTCTATGGGATCTACATCTAATTATTGTCGTTAATGCGACTCAATGAAATCGTACCACGTAGATGATTGGATAAGTACAAATTTATTTATTTATTTCAAATGGCATGTGTTTTGATAGTTATCATTAGACCTTTAGTTGAATTCGGACTTCATAGAGGGCAGGAACAGGCAAAGTCACAAAATGACGAGAGGGGGAACAGAAGAGTGATCCCCTGAGGTAAAAGAGACAGACAGACACAATGGCAGAGAAAAAGCATTGTGAGTACTGTGGAAAAAATGTTGGAATATGACAAACAGTGGGGTGATGGTAGTTTGAAGTGTGAAGTCAACTGCCAGTTTATAGACTTTTTGCCGTATGGATATGCTTTGCCCAGGCTGCGCCACGTGGAGGTAAGTCTATCGCACACCCCTGTTTGAAAAACATAGAGGCATATATAAACAAGGTAACATTGGAACAACCGCAAGGCTGAGTTGAGAACATTTTTAAAACTAATTTTTATTAGTTTTTGGATGTTGATGGGAAAATGGAAGAAAACCAGGACGTAGTAGGCAACAATAAACAAAGAAATCAATAATTTAAACCGCTACGATTATTCAAATGACGTGAAATTAAAGCTCAATTCACTTTGGCTCAACTTTGAAAAAAATCGTATTAATAAATGCACCTTTTTTAACTTGACTATAATATAATTAAAGGATGGTTGCATTTGTATTTTCTATGGTTTCAGAGAAAGTACGTCATTTGCTGTGTCAGTTTTATTACCAGTGGGCGACGCTGACTCCTCTTCGGCTAATTCGATTTTGAAATATTCACACTTTCGCATGTACAGATTGGATGCGTGTTCAACCTTGAAATATAGACGTGTTTAAGCGTAAGTTACAGCTCACTGCAGTTCATTTGCAGTGCGGGATGATAGAAGTCCGATAAGATAAAAATCATAGTTACGGTGCTTATGTTTACTCTCTCAAGAGATGCAACCAATTGCCACAAGTTGTTGCTAAGTCGAATATCAACCTTGCCTATATGCTGAAGCATACCTCACCTGACAGCTTGAGAATTATCTGGAATAAAACAGTTATCGGTCTAGTGGGTTTTGTTCACCCCCTCCCCCCCCCCAACACACCCCACCACCCCTCACCACCCCCACCATCCCCACCACCCCCCACCACCCCCTCCACCNACTTCATTGCTAATTATTACGAAAAATCACGGGGTCCTGACTTTCAACCCTCACCACTTGACTTCAAGTTAAATAGGTGAGAACATAAATGATACTCATACGGTTAGCCAAATCATTTCCAATTTCGCATTTCCTTACAACCACTATAGGGATCTTCTATGGGATCTACATCTAATTATTGTCGTTAATGCGACTCAATGAAATCGTACCACGTAGATGATTGGATAAGTACAAATTTATTTATTTATTTCAAATGGCATGTGTTTTGATAGTTATCATTAGACCTTTAGTTGAATTCGGACTTCATAGAGGGCAGGAACAGGCAAAGTCACAAAATGACGAGAGGGGGAACAGAAGAGTGATCCCCTGAGGTAAAAGAGACAGACAGACACAATGGCAGAGAAAAAGCATTGTGAGTACTGTGGAAAAAATGTTGGAATATGACAAACAGTGGGGTGATGGTAGTTTGAAGTCAGAAGTCAACTGCCGAATAATAGACTTTTTGCAGTATGAATATACATTGCCCAGGGTGCACCACGTGGAGGTAAGTCTATCGCACACCCCCAGATAGGTGTATATTAATAATAGAGGTTAGAAAGGAATTAATTGGTTACAGTTAATTAAATTAAGATCACAATCTTTTATACAACATTTGAAGTGGGACTTTGCAGTAAACAGAAGCATGAAGTGCAAAAGTAAAAATCTAGTTGCATTCCAGGTAAGTAAGCCAGTAATAGAAAGATTACTTTTGCAGTAACAGATGTCGCACAAGCAACTACAAAATTCATCTTGATTAACCTCCAGTTCACTTTAAATATTTTAATAGAATGTGGTAGGTTTAAAACTCCATCGAAAATTACCTATTTATAAAATTTCCACTGATTTGAATAAGATGAACCGATTGAAATCGAGTTTGTGAGAAGGAAGGTATATCGGTCAAGAAGTGCAGCTCTACAGTTTGTAGGAACTATGAATTACACATATCCTAATGGCTATAAATTAAAGAGCGGATAGTCTTGACAAAACTAACAACTCACTTAACTGTAATAGGGTCCCGATCATTGGCCTTGAGCACCATCTTAGCCTACTATGTTCTCATTAGCTTCGATGCGGCAAAAATAACTTACCTAATGAACAAAAATGTTTCGTTTTTGTTGGTATCCATCTAGTTATCTTTCAAGGTAAATTTTCGGTATCTTAAGCGCAATATTCTATTACATTTTCTTCGATAATATAATGATATTGATTTAAGAGAAAGCTAAAAATAAGGTATACCTAACGTTTTTTGTGTTAATCGAACTAATTACATGTTATCCATCAAAAGAATTTGAAATAAAAAAGACGATTGGTAGGGGGTAATTGCTTTTTTGTGTCCACTAATTTGAAACTTTCCATAAGCTGCATTTCAACTAATGGAGTCAAGACAATGCAAATCAAATCAAGAAAAAAATTATCCGGTGTTTAGAAACCACGATAGTCAACAGCACATCAGTCCAGAAGAAGAAAGGCTATTAAGGGTGTTCGATAGACTTACCTTCACGTGGTGCACCCTGGGTAGCGTATATTCATACGATAAAAAAGTTTATCAACTGGCAGTTGGCTTCTGACTTCAAACTACCATTACCCCACTATATATCATATTCGACCACTTCACAGTATTCACCTCACCTTTTTTCTACCTTTGCATCTGTCTCTTTCACATCTTTGAAATACTCTTCTGTCCCTCCCCCTCTCGACTTTTTTCACTTTAATGTTCCTTCCCCTCTGTAAGCCTGAAGTCAAGTAAAGGGCTAATGATAACTATCAAAACGCCTGCCATTTGATATAAATAAATAAAGAAAGACGAATAAGTCAGGCTTTGGTTATATGAATGATTGTCAAAATAGTCAGTCTACTGCAGCATTTCAAAGAGGATTTTAAATTGAAGCCATAAAACTATCAGTGGAGTGATTGAAAAGTCCATCTCTTCAAATACTGCAATACGTCAACATGTTCAAATGCCTTCCGATAAAACTCCGAAAGCAGTTGTTTGACAGCTGAAATGTGGGAATGAAATGTGCGCTTGAATCGATGATA